GATTTTCATGTTTTTTCGTCCTTCAAGTTAGTTTTTCAAGGCGGGCTTGGAGGCGGAGTCTGGAGGCGGAGACACTGGAGAAAAGGAGGCGTCGGTGATTTTACAGCGGCCTCCCTTACTTTTTTTGCCGCGAAACTTGTACGAGGTTGTTTGTCGCGGACCGCACTACCTTCAGTCGCCATATTTTCAGCACCTGTACATGATCGCGGATCGTACCCTTAAGATGACGCTTAAAGAGAGTGAGTAAGCATCGCTCCTAAGCTGATCCAGTCTTCTCGAAATTTTCATCGCACGTTACTTTTTCGGACACTATCGTGGCCCGTGGCCTCACTTGCGATTTTCTCATTGTCATGTGTACTGTTAAGAGCTCATCTAATCAAATAAATGATTGCAAATTCAGATAGAATCGAACAAGCCACTCGGTGAACTTGACGTGGTACTGCCCGAAGAGGAGCAGGCCGAAACAGTGCCCATGAAGGCTGCACTGATTTTCTTCTTCTTATGGATTAGTCTATCTGCATTTATAGTCAGGTTCGTCAGCTTGTCAATTCTAGAGAATCTACTGAAAATCTTAACCTTCCGATCACATACTCCTTTGCAGATTATGGGAATACGAATGGTCCTACTTCAGTGCTTTCTACTTCTTTTTCACTTCTCTTACCACCATAGGTGATTTTACATTCTTCGTACCTTGATGTAGAGCGGGGCATGTCCTATGCTGCGCATCCTCAGCGAGGGGTATCATATATATATCCTTAGGAGGAGTATATATATCATTGCGAGAAAAATTTCGATTGTTGGCTTTTCCCCGTTCCAGATGCATATGACTCCTCCTTTCATGTTAGGGCCAGGGCACACCGTTGTTGGGGATTCCCCAAGAGGGGTTCGTCTTTGGGCTGGGGAAATGTTTTTTAATGGTTGATTGTTATACTCCAGGGACGCGCCGAAAGGTGAGCGGGGGGCGGTTGCATTTTCACATCTGGTTCTGGAAGAAGAGAGGTTGACTGCACCCCTTTGTATTTCACTGTGATTATGTGTACTGGCCCCCCCCCTCCCCCATGTGCTCGACAGTCAAAATTTCGGATAGAAGTATGATTTATCTCGGAACAATTCACGGCGAAAAAGTTGGTAAGAATTGCGAAGAATATTAAGAATAATGGCTAGCAGGATGAGAAAGGGAGGCCGAGGGCGGAAGCGTACAACTCCATGAAAAAAGGAGGGGGGGGGGTGGTACGACCTGATCAAAATTCTCTATTTATGTATGTGCCCTGCGTGTAAAAAGTCTGTAAAAAAGGAGGAGTCAGGATTCTAGAAAGAAGTGGCACGGGCTGAGAAAGAAGGCCGCGAAAAGGGTTGTAGCCAGAGATGGAATCCCCATTGAGCAGGAGTTTTTTTTGAAAGCTGCCCCCTCTACAGAGCGTGTGCAGGCGTGGGGGGAAATTCGCCCCGATGTAGATACGAGGTAAAACATGCATATCCAGGTTGCCGCGACCAAGAGAGATTGACTCGGTGCGCGGCTTTTCCTCGTCACCTCACTTTCAACTATCTTCGCAGTCACTATAGCGTCCTGTTGTTAGCTGCTACCGCCACGTGCACTTGCAGTGCCAATTTCGCCACGCCGCCGCGGCTCGGATTTCTGACCCAATCTTACCCCGCTTGAACAGCAACAAACGCCGTTCTCATCAAAAGTATTTGGCGTCGAAGTAGACGTCAGAACATTTCTCACCAACTGTCAGCTCTCGACCCAGGAGCTAGGCAAACTGCTACAGAACGTGAACGGGTACACTCCTAATCATTACGTACTGTCGGGGCGGCACAGCCGCGCTGCACTGTGACGCGACAGCGGCTGCGGCTCGGTGACGGTGAATCAGCTGATTTCGATGGAATTCGGCTGGTACTGGCTCTGATTCCCTTTTTATGTCGATTATTATGCTCTTTTCCTTGTATTTTGCCTTATTTCAGGCATTTATTCAAATGGCTTACATTCTTTCAGATTCATTCAGAGTCAGTACAATTTAAAATTGTTCAAAATAACTCACCTTCCACTTTCGAAGCTTGAAGAGTTGAAAAAGTGGGAATTCGCAGCCGAATTCCATGGAAATCAGCTGATTCGCCGTCACCGAGCCGCAGCCGCTGTCGCGTCACATTGCAGCGCGGCTGTGCCGCCCCGACAGTCCGTAATGATGAGGACTGTATGTGAGAAGACAATCGTGATGTGCCGCCTTGGTGGAGGTGGTGAGAGACCACCGCACCCATCACGGAGTCTCGTATTGCTTGGATCCAAATCGGTTTTGCTGCTCCAATCGACAAGCTGATGCTCGTTGAAAATTTGCCGCGCCTGGGTGCAAGGTACGACGCGACAGATTACGGCTGTCGTATAATCGGCATCGTATGAAAACTCCAGTAGCGTAGTGATATCAATTAATAGACGCTAAAAACAAATTCTTTCCAATCTTTGTTTTTTCAAGGTAAGCCAGACCAAGAGCTTTTCAGATGGGACTCGCAATCAGAGGGGTCCGACGAAATCCGGTAAAAACATATGCATAGAATCAATGGTCATCTTACAGTTTACACGTACCAAAAATTGCAGTAGGCGTGCTGCTCCACTGTATATGAACAGGGCGCGGCTGCGTATTGGGGAGACATTTTTTATTTAGCGGATAATTCTAATCACTACGTTTTATCCAACGCAAACAAGGCAGTTCGTCCCGGGATGAAGATATCCACGTGTACATAGTTTTGCGGCCATGTTCAAAACTGAATTGTCACCCTCACGGAGCAACGAGTAGTTACATTATACAGGCCAGCAACGTATAATGAATAATCAAACCTGATTGCAACCATTCCTTTTTCCAGGACTTGGTGATGTTGTCACGAGAACACCAAACTTCATCATTTTCAATCTAGCGTTGACTTTGGTTGGTCTATCAGTTGTCGGATTGTGCTTGGCAATTGTTCAGGTTCGCATTTCTCCCTTAGGCGGCGTTCATATTCTGCGGCAGCGTCCACCAGCGTCTACCAGCGTCCTTTAGAGTTCCGAGCGTCCGGTAGCGTCAGCGACTAGGAAAGCATAGATATCGATCTAGTCTGCCAGCGTCCACCAGCGTTCACCAGCAACCGGGAGAGTATGGGGAGTAGGAGGGTAGCAAACAGCTGGACTAGGCGTCGTGAAATTGCGGCGTGTGCAGTCGCACCGCCAGCTGCTCAAGCACATAATTATGCAATTTAATGTACGGTGTAGTGGGGTTGTAAGGTGCGGTTGCACACGTTGCAATTTCGCAGCGACTAATCCAGCTCCAGCTGTTTGCCACCCTCTGACTTCCCCATACTCTCTTCTCCCGGTCGCTGGTGAAGCGCTAGCAGGTCCGGCAGACCAAATAAGCCACTAAGCGTAGGATCGGAATTTTTCGAAAAACTACCGTACTTAGCTTCGTTGCAGGACCAACTACCGTACTCTTGTGGCACATTGCCGGCATTCCATGCTGGCCTAAATTTACAGGCGCTTTCTTTCGATTCAGAGAGAACGGAAGGTAGACATTTGTCAAAAAGAGGATCATGCTATGGATCAAAACAGTCTCTCTGCCTTTTTGCAGGGTTCAGTGTTACAATGTCTGATAAGTTAGCATATGATTCCTACATGCCACAGGAAAACACTTTTGGAATGGTTTAAGATCAACTCGATCAAAAGTACTATGAAAAAACTGATATTTCAAAAGTACTGGTATTTCACTGAACAGAGGCTGACAAGGTGCTGTCAGTAAATGCGAATATTCAACGGTCCCTGCTCTGACTCCTCGTGATATGAACCGTAGTGTGTCTGTGTACTCATTTCCCTTTTTTTAGGAGTTATCTAGATTTCCGTAGGAAGCAACAAATAGAATTTCTTGACCTCATAGCAAACTGAGTACGAACTCTAGCGTTAGTACTGCATCTTTGAGTGGAGCAATCAAAAAATCAATATAGAAACTCGACCTCACAGCAAACTGAGTACGAACCCTAGCCTTAGGAACTGCATCTTTGAGTGGAGCAATCAAAAACTATCAATTGTAGAATTGTCTGCGGATTTCGGAAGCATACAGTATTTCCTCCTGCATATCGTGAGCAAGCCCAAGCTTCGATGATGTGCTCACATAACACCCTTAGCTGGTCTCGTAGAAAATTGGCCTGCGCGTATATATTCAGCAGTGAAACCTAAACAACGCAAAAACATTTTGTCCAAGTCAATAGTTTTCATCTTTACAATAAACGTTTATCAACTTCTCCAAGTCCAGAAGAATGCGCACTCGAAATTAGGCCAGTTTGAAATGCCTTATAATGTGCCGGGAGTACGGTCGCAGGTCCCGCAACGAAGCCAAGTACTGTAGTTTTTCGAAAAATTCCGGTCCTACACTTAGTGGCTTATGCAGACCAATATCTCTACTTTCATAGTCGTTGATGCTACCGGATCCTTGGAAAGGTAGTGGACTGGTAGACGCTGGTGGACGCTGCCGCAAAGTATGAACGTAGCCTCACAATGCGCTTCAATTTCGTTAAACCCTGTCAGATGTTTGCATTCTAGGCCAAAGTTCGTTTGGTTTTTGATCGACTAATTCGTTCAATTGATTCGCAGTATCGAATAAGGCAAATTGATCCAGATGTCGCCACGATGACGTTGATTCCTGATGAGAAGGAAGGCATCAAGCGGTCTGCTTCCCTTATGCTTAATGACCTGAATTCTGAAAGAATAAGCTTTTCAGAGGGAGAACACCAAGGAAATAAATTTTCAGATTGATTGGCGCTCAACCGCTGCAGGATCGGATCGTGTTCATTTTCATGGACGAGCACAAGAAGTGCATGCTGAGAGATCGATGGAAATTGCGCAGTGGAATGGTTAATCGGTGAGTACTGGACTTTCCACAGAAAATCTGTAAGTCCCTATTAGCTTTACTACTGGTGCGTTCTATAGTATTCCCTGGCGTCTGACGGAACTCCTGCCAGGTACTGCCAAGCATACTCTTTCGGTGACTCAAAGTGATGAAATCAGTCGACGTTCAAACTAGAACGACAAACAATAATAGTCCTGGTGTGACAATTGTATTGCCACTGAGAGTCCCAACTGCTGCTCACAGTGCCTGAAACCGTGCTGATAAGAACCGATAGTGTGGTCATTAGCTGACAAACTATTTCAGTTCTGAATAATCTAATCAATGGCAAAGGTGGAGAGTCTCTGTGTTGAACACGATCTGTACTCTCACCTCCTTCGACGATCCTTACCATGTGTGAATGGGTCCATAGCTGCAGTAACGTGCCACTTCTTCGCCCAAGAGTGCACGGGAAAGGGACTGTAAGGTAGCGATACTCAGGTGCCGCCTACCGACGCCGACCGCGCTATCCCCAAGGTCTAGCAGTTGAGCGATATCAAACCCTCGCAGCGAACACGCAGTCAGAGGTATACTCGAAATCCCTGAGATCGGGTAGGCGTGGCTGCGTACTTGAATTTAAAATGGCGGCGGCCCAGGTTTTCGTGAGATATTGTCATTTTGGAGCAGTCGTAATCATGTCTACATCTAACACAGAACAAGATAGCAGTTGTTTCAAATTGAAGTATGCTCATAAGATCACGGCCTTCTGGCGTCATAGGGATAAGAGAGTGTAGAAAACCACAGAAGTGCGAGAACGCAAAGCAATCGGCGTTTTGGCCAAGATCGCGCCGCACTGGCCCACTCGCGGAAGACTATTGTGCTGCGGACCATCCAAGGGCAAGGTCCCGCGATGCGGTGTAGAAGTTGTAATGTGCATCGAAGGGTAGTGTGGGGTCCGCTGACGAACAACCTTGTACCGGTAGCCGCAAGGCAAAAAATTGTAAGGCGAGAGGAGGCAATAGGCGCATATAGAAGACAGTGAACGGCCTCTTTTTCTACCAGTGTCTCCGCCTCCAGACTCAGCTTTCAAGGCCCGCCTTTCAGTGAAAAACAAGGCTGCGGGACGAAAAAGCATGAAAATCGTCACTTATACGGTTGCGGAGTTCTTATCGAGCAATCAGCTGTGCGGGTGAGGTCTTGGGCACGTTACAGACTGAGATCGGAATGGGGGTTCTAGGGCAATTTGAAGCAGTTTAACTGATTTTCTCTTTCACTATCAACCTTATTTCGCCTCGCTAGAACCTTGTCGTCTACATGCAAGACCCTAATCCACTACCTGTGATAGCGAATGATCGCAAGCTTTACCTTTAACTTGCTCATGGCAGCGGCCAGGTTCCACGGAGGTGAGTGTAAGTTAGTCCTCAAGGGACGCCGTAATCACCTGCACAGCTAGAGCTCGTACAGCACCTCTCCGGCCAGTCGCTCCTTTCTTTCTCTAGGAACTAGCACTGTTTCTTTGGAGAGGGCCAAAGCCATTGATCGACCTCCACGCATAATATTCATCGAACACCAGCTCCTTATGGGCCTGTAACGGTTTTCGTAGGCGAGAAATCAACTTCCGGAACACATCTCCAGAGGGAGTTGACCTTTGCCGAGCACTTTGTCCCTAATATTATTAGATCGCAAAAGGCGGCAGTTGTGCTATAAATCGCTCTCTTCAAAATTGCGGTTAGGTCATCGTTGACGCGAACAGCCGTAGGGTTTCTAGGTACCAGAATAAGAACTACAGCAGGAGTGGTCATGGTTAGGGTGAAGGCTGCATGCACTGGGGAATTTTCAAACTATTATTTCCTAAGAAACTTTTGAGATATGGTGGCGTTCTTTAACATTATTTCGTAACATTGTTTCAACCTTTTAGCTCATTTGCATTTTCAGCGCCCTATTTGAAGCATTCGCCGGCTGACAGAGTTGATCAGTTTAACTCAGTTAAAGGACCGAAGAAAAATTATCCTACAATTCCCGTGCGGCGAAAGCAATTTGAGCTACCATCCAGTTTACCATCGGGACGCTTAGAGATGCCCCGCAATTTCGTATTCCACTATTGAATTAAAGGCAATCTCGCCAATGGATTGAGACGGAACGCGCGCCACTTATTCAGTATGACTGGTCAGCGAACCAGTCGATCCTGGCAATGAAAGGTATTACTGGTCATAACTGGCTGAAAAGCCATGGCGCGTCATGATTTCATTAAAGAGACTCACCTTGAAGTCAAAACCACAGCAGGATAAGGCAAATGAATAAAGCTTTCGCTCCCGACTGATCCATTTTCGGATGCATTATGCATCCTACTTCCATTTGGAATCGTACTGGCTATCGTATCATACTTTACCAACCCCTATGCTATTCAACTGGCCTGCTTGGCTAACGGTGTGGGACTTCCAGCACATGTAGATATGTAGATGTGAGTTAATACCTATTTCCGCGGAGGTGATGTTGTGGCAAGTAGCCTGTCTGCTACGCGCACGGTACGGCCGTTAAATCCTGGTTGGGCTTCCGCCCGGGCAAACGGTCCCACAAAATGGTCATTCAAAGACGAAGACCTTAACCTTTCATCCTTTCATCTCGCAAGTAACTTACTGGTGCAGGGCCAGGTGAAGTCGATTACCACCTGGATGGTTCGGGGATCTAATTCTGGTGGCTCCCCATCCATTAAAATTGGTTGAAGCGGTTGAAATATGGGGATTTTTTACCTAATAGATATGCACCGTAGCCCTATCGTATGCCTTACCGAGTTCAACGAAGAGCGAGTGAATCATCTTATCTGCGCAGATTCATGCCAAACGTTTAATGGATTTCCGGAGATAAAGGAATATTGTCATAGTTTCTGTTAAGCATTACTTTCACTCCGTGACATTCATAACTCTAGTCCACAGATTATCGCAGCTGACAACGGCTACCACGGATAGTGCATTCGCTCGGGAACCATAAATCGCGGGATCGATTCCCACCCCGGGTCACCGATTTCCCCCATATTTCACCACCAACATCCTTATGATTCTTCAACGAGGATCGCGCCGTTAAAGGCACGTTCCGTGATAAACTAGGGCTAGGTTCTCATAACCGTGCCCGACGGTCAAGCAGG